CCAGAGCTGTTCTGGAGTGCTGCGATGGGACCGATACATGTGTAGCAACTAATGCTTCAGTTGGATTTAGAAAAAAACTTTTGATCTTGTGTCACATGATGTACTGATGAGTGTGTTGGATTTTGAAAAACGTAGACTGCATTATCAAAGAGGGAGTGGCTGTGGCATATAAGGGCTGTACAAGGCGACTAATTGTTAATAGGTTGGGGGGGGGGGGCATTAACATGCAACGCTTTGTGCGTCAGGGCTGCCCTCTTTCACCATTGCTGTTCAGTTTGTTTTTAGAGCCTTTTTGTGTGAGTGTGATGAACGGCTGTGCCATCTATGGATTGAAACAGCATGAGAATGAGGTACGATTACTTGCATATTGTCATGATGTGGCAGTTTTCTATTCAGATCACGACAGTGTTAACGAAGTAGTCCATATTAGTTTTGTATGGCCAGTGGGAGTTTGGTAAACTGGGGAAAATGCTTGAAATATTGGGATGGGGATTGGCCTTCCACTCCAGACGTTTTTGCCAACATGCCATGGTTGAATCAGCCCGCAAAATATTTGGGTGTACCACTAGAATTTTATCGTGACAGTAAGCTGTACTGGCAGTGGCTAGCTACTAAACTGCATGAAAGAAAAATAAAATTAGAGGATGGCATTTATCGATTTCCACGCGGCCCACCATATGTAATATTTTCTTTGTTTCTAAACTCTGGCACATAGTACAGGTTTTGCATTGCTCGCGCATAAACGTGCAGATGCTGCACCGTGTGTTTCCAGCATTTATATGGGATTTAGTATGTGAACGGTCTAGCCGCACTAATCTTTTTTGCTGTGTACGCTTTGGTGGTCTCAGTCTGCCACATTCGTTTTTTAAAACAGGTCGTTAGTCGTTTTATGTTTCTGCGAGACGCAAGACACCTGTTTCTACGTGCAGTTATTCAGCTGAGGCTTGGAAGAGCTCTACCTTCACTCATTGTCACTTCGGACTATGTGCAATTTTTATTGACACGTTTTTCTAGCGAGTATCTAGTTAGTGTGGCAACATTGTGCGTCCACTGGGAAACAACCCTGGAAATTTCCATTTTAGCTTGTTTTTGCATGCTTTCAGCCTTCGTTGCTGGTCGTGGCTGCATGTGTTCCGATGTTCTGTGTAGATAAAATTATTCCGATGTAGCGCTCACAACTCAAGCACAGCTGTGTCAAGACAGGATGCAATGTGGAAGCCTGAACTAGTTTTATAGTTCTAAATAAGTTATAATATGTTATAGTTCTAAATAAGTTATAAATAAGTCGACCTATCATCAGTTCATGCGTTCACAAATGCCGTGCAAGATTATCTGTGATGTTATGCGCAGTTCTTGTCATTATTTCTCTTTTACAGCTTGAAACGTATGCAGGTAACCATTTATTTCGCGGTGTTCTTCTGTTGACGTAAGCTGTCCTTCGGTTTACATGCTTATCTGTTTCGTGGGCCGTTTCATTCATGTTCTTAAATGTTGTATGCGTCTTTCGGGTGTTCAATCACTCGATCCTGTACGTGTTATTGCTCCTGTGTCCTACCTCAGTGTATTATTGCAAATGCTGTTGGGCTTGTTTTTTATGTTCGCGTCTTGAGTTCACCTTCGGCCGCATGTGTTGTTATCATTAGACATATGTGCATTTGTTCTGTTTTTCTTTTTTTTTTATTTCGGTTGTCGACTGAAACGATGCAATGTGTAACATTGTAATGTGATGTACCCACTCCTGCCATGGCTCCCAAAAGGCAGCCGGCAGTATCTGATAAATAAAAATATGCAAGTGAAAACGTTTTGTTATTCGACCAATGGCGATAAAAGGAGCACCTGCATTGCAGCGATCACGTGAAAAAACTGGATTCTCATTCTGCCTACCGTATTAAAGGCAATGTAAAGCTCAGTGCTGACAAATGGCACAGAGGAGATACTCAGACGTTGGACTAGTCGAAGGTCCCCAGTTGCTGGGAACACGTCGGTCGCTATCGTCTTCCACACGTGGCAGATATGTGTGTACTGACGCCTGAAGTGGGTAGCATAACGTGAAAGTTAACACTCAAAATCCATCGCAAAGGTGTTTGAGCGACAATATTGATGTGTACTGTTCGAGACAACGTGGGACACTATAAGTAGCCACGTTCAACATGAATTGTCGTGTCGTGGTGTCCACGTTTTGCTGTCGTAGTTGTGTTTGATTTCTTTGAAAGTACCGCCAGCGAGTGAGTTCTCACTTGTGCGAGCAAACGACTCATCACCTATCTTTCTGCCACTAATTAACATCACCACATTTCAACTTATTTATGTGACCATAGACTGTAGAAAGTTTGATTCTTGAATAGGTACTGATGACGTCAACTGTGAGCCAGCAACAGTTGACGTCTTCAGTACATTTTATAATTTCGCAGTCACACTAACACTGCGTATCGCGACAGATTCCGATCTGAATTTACGAACAGCCCAACTTAAAAATTGTTACACTGTAACTACTTTTAAGTTGTGCTGTTCGTAAATTCAGTCATGTCCTACCAACTTGTCCAAGTTTCCATGCTTCGTAGATTCCGATCATCACTGATCTCTATAAAAAGCGCCTAGTGTGACACAGGCAGAGAACAGCTACACAGGCACAGAAATAAGTGTTTTATCCTGAGGTTGTGTGCCTATTGACGAAAATATGTTCGAGGTTCCACGCAAGGCAGGTTTCCACTTCCAGTCGAAAAGCTGAATTGTGCAACTTTGCTATGAAAGGATCTGGCGACTCTTCTCCTGCATATCGATGATTTGGGTGCGCTGTGAAGATGCGCACAGTCAAAAGACAGGTGTGTGCTGTCAATTTTTTGTCCGCGTGTACAAAAAGCATATCCACATCGTTGACATGCAAAACCAACTGGCTTTAATTCCCTGACAAACTTCTCTTGCAGTTTGTGCATTTTCTGTCGGCCACTGTTAGAGGCAGCACGCAGCTGGGGCTGCCCTCATTGGAGTGCCTCGACAAATATTTCCCGCGGTGCCCGTCGGCCACGCTAGCCGTGTTACCTGCAGCAGTGGCCACGCCTGTACCTCCCGTGTGCTTCGTCGAGCTGCTTCGTGTAGCCGCTAGACGTTGCTGTAAGCACATAAAAAATGTGCCAAAAATAATAGAGCAGCAATCTCAAACACATCACGAAGGCGCCGCCGAGCGGCCGAGACCAATGAAAAAGCATTGCCGGAAGTGGCGCGCCGGAAGTTTTTTGGGGTAGGCCGTATGGCGCGAGCCAGTTTGTTTACAAACACCAAAACAGTCTATAGAGACCTTCTCGACATTGTTTTACTGGTACCACTTTACAGGAGTTTGTATTCTGCTGGACGTGGCAAAAATGTACTGGCCCGAGTGAAAAAAAAATTGACTGTCCCATCTTGTTCAAAATCTTTTTTTTTTTCTTTACGCTCAATACTAGGACCCTAGAAGTTAAAACATGGACGCGAGAAAAGGGTCCATTTCTACCGTGGAGAAAGCACTGTTTTCTCTGTCGTAAACCTGAAACCATTGAACATGTCTTTCTAGATTGTTGAGAAGGGGTGTTCTGGGGCATTCTGCAGAGAACTCTCAAAAAAGATTTACCGATAGATGCCTACAGGATCAGGGCTTTACCAGTTAATGAAGAAGACGATGGGGCACCCTTCACACCTTCACAGTGTTTGGAAAAAGTACATGGCACTCTGCCATGCCCACATCAATACACTGCTCATTCGTGAATATTTCTGCCAAATGATCACGAAGTTATTGAAGAGATTAAAATTAAAGACCCAGTTCCATAGTGGCTCGAACAACTTGAGCCACTTATCTATATGAAAGAATTCTAGTCACCATGTAAGCATTTCGTTGATTACTTCTGTATGTACTGTGTATGCACTGTATTATTATTATTGTATGATGTGCAAAAGTAATAAAGAAAACAATGACCTTGGCCGAGAGGTAAGGTGGTTGTTTTAAAAACAGAAGATTCGTTGTTGAAATACCTCTATCAGGTTCATTTTGAATTAAGAATATTTTTTCCTGAAATTTTGTCACACTCCACTTAGCGGCAACTTGGCGGCATGGGACTGTGAAGCCTGAGGTTCCCACACCACTAAGTTGCCGCTAGGTGAAGTGGTGACAAAATTTCCGAAAGATAGAAACATTTCTGTCGGAAATGAACCCAACAGCAAGATTCTAACCACCAACCTTCCGGTTACGAAACGAACACTTAACCTCTCAGCCGATGTCACACCGTGGTTCCCAACCTGCAATGTTAGGCTCAGAATCTTCCCCTTTTAGATTTTTCAAAACTGATAACGGCATATGACCTTCAATAAAACTCAAATGTTTGCCTGAATTGAAAGTGATGCAACAATGGTGGCTCCGACAAGGACACGAGCTGTTTATTCATTTTGTGTAAAATAACGCTAGTCGCTTTTTGGTTTCATAAACGGAATGTCACTGGTTGGAAATCCGCTGTTGATGACAAAAGCGGATTTCGAACAAGTGATCTCACGGTAATGAAACAAACATGCAACCAGGGCAGTGGTTTTTTTTTTCTTGTTTCTATGTCAGAGTTACTACAATTGCATCTATTTATCAATTCAGGCAAACTTTTTCGAGTTTGATAGAAGGTCGTATGCTTTTATCAGTTTTGAAGGATGTAAACGACAAAGATCCTGTGCCTAACATTGCAGGTCAAATATCGCGGCGTGACATTGGCTGAGTGATTCCACTTCCTGACACTGCCGTGAACAGACGTGAAATGCTACGCTTCTCTGGAGTAGCATTGGCAACCGTGCCTAGCCAAGTTTTTTCGCCAAGCGCATTTCTGCCTCAAATATTTTGCTGTTGCTTATCGGCCTATCGCTCGTGCAGAAAGCCTGTTATAATGCAATATTGCTCTACTTAGGGCGCTGCAAACTACCATGTGTTATGTTATGCACAGTGAACTCTGAAGTTACGAACACTTTGAACTACACATTGAAATATCGCGGTATTTGCTGCTCCGTCAAACTTTATTATTTGACCAGTTTGATATCCTTTGAAAACACGTGAAATACTGAGCTATTCTGTCCTAGGCTGCTGCTTTAGCATCCCAGCACACAGCACATGAACCCAAGCATCACGATTCATCCAAATACGGCTGCCAAAGTTTGTTGATACAGCTCACCAATGCAGCTGAACATACAGAGTACTCCAAGTACTGGCATGCATCGCGGCAGTGATGGCGTAGTGTGACTCACGGCGAGATCAGTCTATTAGTGAACTAAGATAAACAACACTACACTTTTTATTATTGAATTTCAGGGTAAGCGCAGTTCGTTAGGTTATAGAGGGCATTCCAAAGCAACCTATGCAACTTCTTGTGGCAACGTACATGTCATGCATGGTGATCTTTCCTGTGCTTAAAGGGGCCCTGCAACAGTTTTTTGAGCATGGTAAGAAAATGCTGCCGATCAGTAGTAGAGGCTCCCGACAACACGTGAATCAAATATTATACTGCAGCACGCGGCCTGGAATTCACAATAAATTATCAATGTCAGCTAAAAATTCCTTTCTCTTCTCTCAACAAATCACGTAATAAGGCCAAAAATCACTCGTAGTAAGTCAATCTATCAGCCATTCGCTGATTCGAACATGGCGCTCTCGGTCGTTACAGAGATCGCCGAGGGAGGCCGTCACTTGTCCAAGCATGAGCGTGCAATCGCACTAAAAAAGCCACGTATTCGACGAAAAAAAAAGTGGTCAAGGTCACGAGGCGCGAGTGAAGTTTTTTATTTGCCCCTCCAACCCATCCCTGCTTAGCTTCCAGTGCTTACCTCAGGACGAGAGAAGAGAAAATGTGATTCCAGTTGTGACAAATCCTTGTAACTCCGCTCGTACTGGATGAATTTTTTAAATGTTTGCGGCATTCAATTTGTGAGGCAATACGCTTTTCTAGTGAATTATTTCTATGGTTACTCAAGAAAGTGTTTTAGGGCCCCTTTAAAGGAATTACGCAAATTGTGAAATAAAACCATATGACTGCACTCATGTGCTACCTATCAACTATACTTGGAATGAAAGAGCAGTGAACACAAACCATAGTTAAATAAGCAGCTTTGGCTTCTCAACACATTAGCATTTTTGATGGCAGCACACAGCCAGGGAGCACCGTCGTCCCTGTCAAATGGGGTTTACGTTCAGCAACACAATCGACAGCACAACAATAGAGCGGGGCATGAGGTCAGTTTGTGGTTTTACTTCATACAAAAGATTTATGGCATGTTTGGAGTAACTGTCCATAAATGAGATGGATGAATGAGCAAATTAATGAACTGCAATTAGACTTTATATCGACATGGCAACATTGCTGCGTGTGAAACAATAAACTATGGTCTCTCTCCCCGAAAGGAACTATGATTGGATACAAAGCAGCAACGGTCCGCACAGCGTTGACCCGGTTGAAACTGGCGTCGACACAGGTGCTGGAACAAGGATTTGAAGCCAAACTCAGTGTAGCAATTACTTGATAAACGTTTGTTTGAAACGCAAAGACACAAGAGGCGGGATGCTTTGAAGACGCGTTCGGCTTCCTTGGCTCGCATCTCGTCAGTGTTACCCACACGCCGTCTGTATTCTTGAATGCGACTTCGTCCCGCCCGTCGGTGCGATTGTCCGGCAAGCAGCGGCACGCTGTCCACATTGTCGGCGCTCTATAATTTTCGAGATGCAAGCGGCGCCCGCACCTGCCATCTCGGGGCTTCTTCTCGCCAACAGATGGAGAGACATGGCACGAATGAAATGATGCCCATGTGAGGAGAGGGCTCGAGCGGTGGAGAGGGTGAAGCGAGAGAGCTGACACGCAGCGAGCACTCGACAGGCGAGGGAGAGACGTCGCCGCGTACTGCTAGAAGGGTGTGAGCTACTTGGCACTGCTCCGCCACCTGCGGCGAGGGTAATGATGGGGACGGAGAGACAGCATTACACAGGCTAGTCAAAGAGCTGCTTCGCATCTAATATTCTGACTCAATCAGTGAGGGACAGTCGTAAGAGACCACCGCAAATAAACAGTATATTCAGACTCAGTCAGTGAGTAACGTCTTCTCACAAATACCACAAGTGCATTTCACAAGGCAACGTTTATGTCCCCAAATAGCAGATGCATTCAAGCGAGCGTTGCTGAAGTGCCAGGGGATTCGCTGTTGCCATCCTCTTCTGGAGCATCAACCCCCTGTGCTGCGGCACTTGCTGCTGCTGCTGCTACTTGCGCCGCTTTTGTTTGCCTGCGCTCTTCCCACTTCCGCCTCACCCACGGTTTCCTATTCTTGGCCAGCTTGTATCTTCTCTTGGATTGCTTGCATTTCTGAGAAGGAACCTGAACCGTCTCAGCAACATCCATAGTGTCTAAGACGGCAGGCCAGAAGAAGTACGAGATGAAACGCGCCTGCAGAACCTCGTAATTCTTACGCATTGTCTGTAGCTCGCTGCAGCGAAAGCAGGGCTTCTGCAAAGCCTTTGCAGTGATGGGCGAGAGCTCCAAGAGACTTCCCGATGCGCACTCGGTACAGCGAATGTCCTCGATGCAGTCGGCATCAAGAGCTAAACAGAGTTCAGAAAACATGTGGCCGTCTAGCAACCTCGGCAAGGATTCCGCGAGGTTACCGTTGGTAAAGCGATCCAACAGCCTCCCAAAAGCAGGTACAGTGGTCTGCAACAAAAAGCACACACAACGCTTCCTGAATATGGCTAAGTATATTTTTGGGGGGGCTAGTTGCATCATGGTTTCGTGTAGAAAAAATATTTCATTGCTAAGCAACCCACAGACAGACAAAGCAGACGAGACTCGACTAACTACAAACTTGAAGGTTGGTTTCTTGCGTAGCTGAGAGCCTGCTCTTCAAAAAACACAATTTACAGCTTCGCTGATAGCTCGGTCTCATTCTCGAATGTCTGTGCGAAAGGCTGCTTGCCTTGCCATGGCCAGGAGCTGGTGATGTTGAACAGCCAGCTTGAAGCTATAGTTTGGTACTTTTTTCGAAATACTGCAGACACTGTTCAGTGGACTGCAGTCACTTATGTGGCTATGCTATTGGCAGCCATCCTTTCTTGCTTCAGCCTTGGCGGAAGGCTAACTTGCGTAAAATTCCATAAGAATTCCGTCGCCTAGACTTCAAGGTTCATGGACTTACAATTGTGCCTGTTAGATGAAGATTCGGCTTGCTTCTACCATGACACAAAGGTGGTCATAGTACAAGTGTACTTGCCGCCAGAACTCCGACTTGAGGATTTTTATAAACCCGCATGTGTCTTTACAGTGGAGTATTGGCGCCAAGTACACTTCTACTATGGCCAACTCTGCCTCATTTTGGTGGAAGAAAAGGATCACTATACGACTGGCATGCGCTACTGTAAATTCAAAAAAGCTCGCAGCCCAGACGACTAAATCCTACGGCATCATACGCGGGTTAGCCTTCCATCAGGGCCAAAGCAAGAAGGGACGGCCACCGATAGTATAACCATCACAGGTGACTGCAGTCTACCAGACAGTGTCCACAGTATGTTGGACAGAAGACCAAAGTACAATTCCAAGCTAGCTGTTCAGTGTCGTCAGCTCCTGCATGGCGAGGCAAGCAGCCTTTCACACAGACGTTGGAGAATGGCACCAAGCTATCAGCAAAGCTGTATATTCTGTTCTCTCAAAAGTAGGCTATCCTCTACCCATGAAACCTCCATTTAAGTTCAGAGTTAGTTCAAGTCGCGACCTCTGTCTGTGTGTGTGTTGCTTTGGGCTAAAATATTTTTCTTTCAAATAGCTTTCCCCATGTTTTCTAGGTTGAATGGAAATTATGCAAGCCCCATAAATCACCCATCTACAAGTTTAACAACGAAAAGGTCTTCACTGCTGCCAAATTTACTTTCCGGGATCCAGCTGAGCAGTAGAGCCAAGTAAACTGTAACCACTCTTTACTCACCTGCTGAGCACCCAAAGATTTTATGTTACTAGAAAGCCTGACTTCTAATAGCTACTGCCCTAATTAAGACAAAAGGACAAACTATTTGACTTAACATACATCCAACCCAATTTCAATACAGTCAAACCCCTTTATAAGGGACACTGATATAAAAGAAAAATGAGTATAAGAGACATTAGTGTGCCTACAGCAAAGTACAAATGGGTAAAAAAATGCATATGAGGTACCCTGCTTATAAGAAAGATCTCATCTAAAAGACAAGGATTGCTGCCTGGGACATGCCTCAAATAAAGGGGTTCAACTGTATATATTTTTTATATCTTTTCTTCACTACCTTCTGTGACATGCCAGTACTGAAGACATTAAATTAGTAAATGAGTTTTTCATATCTAAAGAAGTCATGACACAGCAACTTGAACCCAATCTAACTTACATCACACGCACGGGAACATACAGATGCCATGTCTACAATACCAGCAAAAAACACTACAGCCTAAAACATACTTCAAGTGAGTTTCGAAGTTCATAACAGCACTGATAAGAAAATTGAAAGTTCATAACAGCACTGATAAGAAAATTGAAGAAGAAAGCAACAAGGTCTTTGTGTGGGAATCGTTTGTAAGCAATGTACCTTACAAGTTCTCGTTGGGTTACTGGAGATGTGTGCGAGATGAACAACACTGCATCAACTTAATCACCTACTGATTCCACGTAACACACTGGCAGTGAAATACTACTTAGCAACTACAGTCAAATCCCGCTACAACGAAATCGATGAGACGTGTGAAAAAATTTGTTGTCGCAGAATTTCGTTGTAGGGAAGCTTCATCTATTCGCGGCGAGATCGGGCTATACGTGGCAGCACCGTCCCCGCGCACGTGTGGATAGGCAGTCGGCGGTGCGTATACAAATACACACAGCGGCGCTTCATTGCAAGTGGCCTGAGCCGATTGTCGGTGGAAAAAAGGCGTTGACTTTAGTTAACTGATAATATCTATGCTCCTCCCAGTCGAATCAGTGCACAGAGCCTATGTAAGCCGCGAGTGAAGCGCATTCTGCCTTCCCAAGAGATGCTCGCCCTGGGTAACCGTCTTTCCGCGTTCGCAATAAATAACGCCTTAGTTGTGTTCTTTGTACGTGGTTAGCTTGTGTTCTGCCTGCTATGCACCTATTTACTTATTTACTTCTTTCTCATCTGCATACAACAAATAATAGAAAACGAAAAATCGTAGAAAACCTGCATATCTGTGTGATTGGTTCAGTACTATTGTGCGCACCTTATATGCGTATGCATTTTTTTTGTTCTCATTTTCTTATGGAATGAGGGACAGCTGATAAGTTTAGTCAGGAAAGCTAAGTAGCTGACAGCGCTTTGTGCTACACTGCGTTTACCACATATACGCACATGTTCTTGCACCAGTAAAAGTATAAAAACATTGCATAGGAGTGCAGCAGGAAGCTTTCATCGATGGACTACACGCATGACAGTGCCTCAATAAATGTCTGTTTAATAAAAGAAACATGTTTTGTTTTCCAGACAAAATATGGCCGCTGTCTTCCGCCAATCAATAACAATGCCACACAAACGCTCAAGACAATGTAAAACAGATGAGATATTCAGTAACATTTTATAACATTATATGTCAGACATGCAGTCTGAATTAATTTTGAACGTCTGGGCTCCTGAAAGCGTTCTTAAATCCAAGCACACAGTTGTGCACGACAGTTCTGTTTTAAGTACCGATGTGTCACAGTTTATGTGATAGTAATATTTCTATGTAGTGGTACCATGGCCAGATAAACACACTAAGGCTCCTCGCATGATTATAAACTACAGTACCGTAGTTGTACACCTACCAACTGCCTGCAAGTGCATGGCCTAGAGCCTTTTTTTTTACGACCGAGTCGCCATAAAATGCTGAATTCATATAGCATTCAATCGTCCTTATGTTTGGGAGGATGCCAAGAGCATTTTGTAATGTGCTTGAAACAGAAAGCGGCACCCACTCTAAAATTAATTTGATAAATGCAGGTTACGATGAGAATAAACAGCACTCTGTAAAGTTGCACTCGCCGATATTATTACGATGCCATAGGAGCTGAGCAAGACCAAATGCTTTCGTACGTCCTTTCAGGCATACGTAGAAACAGTTACACTCGCGCTGACATGACCAAACAAACCACACTTTAAGATTGTACATAATGTACGTGCACATAGAAGCACGACGTGGCTAGCAGACGACGCATGGACCAGTCCAAACTTGCCCACTTCAACCAGTTGCCACTAGGCGGCGACTTCGCTCGATCTCGCGGCAAATAGACCACAACATATGGTAAGATCTGATAATTATGACTCGTCTTTTGGTCCCAGCAAGCACACGCATTGAACTCTCGCTAAGTCAGACCTACCTGGCCGAACACAGAGTAAGCGTATTTTCTCACGTACGATGCCATCAAACTATACAGAAAATTTGGAGCTGCAGTCGGAGTGCGGGTTATACCTGAATTTCAGTGCGCAGGTTGGCTTCGTTGCAATGCAAAGAAGCCGGCTTTGCGTCAGTACGCAGATAGCTTTTTCTTCCTCCCGCGGTGTGCGGTCGGGGGGGCCGGTTATATGCAGGGATGGGTTATATAGAAGAAAACACGATATTCAGGCGACCCTTGAAGCGTGCCGAGTGCACAGCGCCGTGCATGAGCGTGCCAAAAGGCCAACTGGTAACTGAAACTGAAAGTGATAAAGCTCTGTACTACCGTGGCCATAAGTGAACGACAGGAAGGCCGGAACGCTTCGAATCATTTTATGGCTCTTTTACTTTTAATCTACAGCTGTGTTAGCTGTGCACCTTCGGATCGTATTCCCTATCGATGAACAAGACGATAGCGACCGCGGTATCCTGCGCTGCGGTTTTGTCAAACAGTACTTGCATTTGCAATTTGTACATGAAGCGCTGGTTGTGCGCGTCACTTGAGAACTGCGTCGTTGCTACTTTTGCTAGCATCATTATGTAAGAAATATTGAATTGAGTCGGCGCGCGTTGACTGTGCGCGTACTTTCATGGTCCCCTATGATCGCGTTCGACAAGATCGCATTTGAGTTCGCAGTGGTTGTGGCAAAATGCAGTTAGGCTGGGGCTAGGTACTTGCTGCTCGCATGTGCGTTCTCAAAACATGTGGTTGTCATTCAGAATCGCACAGCTAGTGACGATGAGCGGTAGTTTTGTTTTAAGCACAACCTCAAAAACATAACGTGTGGATTCTTAAAGATTACGATTTCACCGTGGCCCGCATGTGCATCGAGCCCGCCGGCAGCATCATGGTGAATGGGCGAGCTGTTGCCGAGAATCTGAATGAAAATAAATTTGGCGGGATGTATGTGTGGTGGCAGAAAGCCCGTCGCTGATGAAGACACTGTTGTTGCGATACGGCCATGTGCTCTAGCTGTCACGACCGGTTGAGAAATGACCAAGTCGATAAAGGAATTTCATAACAATACTAGGCAAGTTCCTTTTTCTTATGGGGTAGTTTGAGAAAACTTCCTTAAGGTGGAAATATCCCGGAAACGTATTCCTTGTGACGAGACATCTTTTACATCGTTTTCTATGGGTGGCTGACAGCGAATCGAAAATTGTTCGTTGTGGCGGAGATTTCATTGTAGTGGACTTCATTATAGCAGGATTCGACCATAACGGTATTCTCATTGCTTTGTTTTCAAAAAGAACAGTGACACAACTGAGAA